AAGCAAAAAAAAAAAAAAAAGGTTATTTTTTTAAGATCTAGTGTCATTTTCTTAGGATGTCGAGTCCTAGTTGAGGTATTATTTTTACACTAATCTGTGACCGCAGAGCAATGCTGTAGCCTCAGTTCATCTTTTGGAACAGTAACTAGAATGCAGTTAACAGGCAAGCAATCACGAGGGACTGGAGACCATGTCTGGAGAAGGAGCTGAAGAACCAAGATGTGGGTCTAGAGAATAGCAGCCTGATGGGGACAGGGCCTCCATGGAGGGGGTCAAAGGGTCAAAGTCACCAGGGAAAGTCTGGTCTCAGTATTGAAGGGAGTTCTCAACAAACGACAGCTAAGTGCATTGCCACAGAGACAGGAAGGTCCAGACACTAGGCAGTTCAAGGAGTGCCTGGAAACTGACTGATGTCAGGAGAAATGACTCTGCTGAAATAGTCTCAACCAAATTACCCATATAGCACAAAACCAGTCACATACAAATACATGAAGGGCGAGAGCGAGCTTGTGGGGGTCAGGATGATTCCTGTAGCATGATAGATGAAAGATCCTTGCAATCCAGCAACACAGAGACAGCATCACCGAGTCATACTGCACCATCACCAACTGCACTAACATAGCCAGGAAATGGCTGTCAGTAAAAGGAGCAAAGTCTGCTTGGGTCAGGGAAGAGGTTCCCAAAGAATCTAGGCTTTCAAACACTCAGAGAGTTTGGGATTAGCGAGGTGTGTCCACTGGCTCACCCACTAATCCTCCCTGATTGAATTCCCTTACCAGGCTAGGTACCTTTAGAGAGTAGTGTGTATTTTCTCTGGAGGCACAGGGTGATTGCTCCGACTTCATCATGGGTAGTGTGTTATTGCTTCTATGTCCTCTTTTCTCCTTCTCGGTTACCCAAGAATAGGAAGGAGGAATGTGTTGAATGATGGAGTCACAAGATAGGGTGTAAACTTTGTTGTAAAAGATTGCATGGGAATTGTAATTCATTGAGATTCCCTAGTTTGACCAGTCAGTCTCAAACCTGAGTCATTTGAGAGAGTGATAAAGTTTCAGGAACTGCCAAGGTGAGTGTGAGACCCAAGACCAATCTCCCCTCTGAATTTCTTTTAACCTTTGCAAAAGTACCTATAGGAATCTCTGGGTTTGACTTCCAAGGGCTCCTCCAGCTCTGAGATGTGGGCTGAAGGACTCTGGCATGAGAACATTGCGAAGGGTGCTTTATCTCAGCTCTCAGAAGTGGCAATCATACAGAGAACCACTTCATTAGTATGGAAAATGTAGGACGAGCACCTAGAATAACCAATAGGTTAAGCAATATAAACCAGTACTTTTAGAAGATTTGTCCATTGCATACTTGGATTTTCTAATTTTTTTAAAACAGATAATTAGGACACATTACACTTTTCTATAGCGTCCTTCAAAACTACTAGAAAAAATTTAGATGATTTGTAAAACTTGTACACACAGTCAATAATTCATATTTTTAGGTTTGTTGTCTTTTTCTCACTCTTAATTTCTTGAGCTTTTCATGGATTGAAATGGTTGTGCTCACCCTGCAGTCTTGAAACTGAGGACATTGGTAGTAGAATTCCAACACCCATTTATTTGTGGAGAAGATAGAACACATGGAGGGATAGGCTACAACCTCTCTCCTTTGACCTCCAGTTTCTCCTCCAAAATCTGCTATTTCCCTCCTGTCGTAGGATAAAAATTATCTTTTCACTTATTCAAAACTATCTCATCAACTTATGTTCTTGACTCCAACTCTCTTTACCTCCCATGGGATTTGTTACCTTCTCATCATCTTGACTCATAGCTGTTCTCACCCCTCAGTCCAGTTCTTTCCCAGCCTACCAGCACAGAGCTTCCTTCCCTCTCCTCCTGGAGCCACCATCTTATCGCTTTCATTTCCATCATGATCACCCATGATTCTGCACCCCTTCTTTCTGACCCGAGAAAGCCTCATATAGCCAAACCACCAATTCCAATAGACGTTACTTGATCCTTAAATGCTATCCAGACTTTCAGGATATCTAACATTGTTCCCCTTTTTCATGGATCTGGTTTGTTCTTTGGCTTCATCATTATCTTGCATTTATTCTGATTCATTAACTCATTTTCTTTTTTTCCACCTCTTGCAGAGTGGTTTACCACTCTTGCCATTTTTCTTCCTTGATACTCTGATGCTCTGCCCCACTTGTATTTCTCATTCTCAATGACAATGTCCAAATATCCTTCCCTGCATGGTCTGTTTCACCTCTCATTTCTTTTTTTTTTTTTAAAGATTTATTTATTTATTTATTTATTTATTTATTTATTTATACAAGCACTGGGTACAGTCAGAAGTGTGGGAGGGTGAGAGAATTCACCAGAGCCAGAGCGGGGAGCAGAGCAGGCAGAAGGACCTAAGCACACTGCTGAGGGGAGCAGCGGGCGGCAGGAGAGGTCTGCGCGCCGTGTGGGACCCTCCTCAGGTGGCCGGGGAGCAGCCGGGGATCGAACCAGAGCTGCAGAGGCCGTGGGCAGCTTCGCAACCCAGCGCTCAACTGCTGCGCCACCAGGGAGGCCCTCACCTCTCATTTCTAATGAGAGGACTTTTAAGTCTCAGTCCCTGCCACCCAAACCCATCATTTGTCCATTGTGGTAGAAGTCTTCTCTGCCCAGCTCAAAATGGAGTCTTCATTTTTTGGTGCGAGTGCTGAATACTAACCACTTTAACACCAGGGGGCATCAGTGATTCTCCATTCTTTGGAACTAACCCCAACCCACAGGTTGAGCGGCCAGCAGCCATCTGACTGACTTCCTGATCATAGCTGATTGATGACCAGACAAGCATCTGTTTGAGGTCTAGCCATGAAGTGAAAAAGCAAAGACTTAGATGAGTAAACAGTAATGCTCTAGGGAAAATGCCCTGAATTTCCAGTGCTGTGACCCCTTAGAGCTGCCCTGGTTAATTCAACATTCCATGGAAGTGAAGGAATGTCCTAGTAATGTTGTTCTTCAGGCTAAGTTTATATATATATATATATATATATATATGCATATATAGCCACACATGCCATCCCATAGGGAACTTAACAACTCAGTACAGAAAGTGTAATCCTAGTTCCAGAAATAGATACCGCCCCCAAACATACTGATTTGATGGCAAAATATTTTAATTTTTCATAAAGTTACATTCCCTACCCACTCCCCACCCCATAGACTCAACATGGAAAAGAATCTACATGCATGTGCTGGCTGAGCAGGAGGGCGACGCGTGCATATACATATATGCATGTACATACAGGTTTATTTGAAAGATCGAATAAACTTTTGGAGACGGCTTGAAGCATCTTATCAAAAGAAAACACATTTTAAGCAAGAGGTTAAAAAAGCTTTCAGACCCAAAGGTCATTTAATACAATAAATCCTACTTGGGTAGGTTAGCAAATATTTTTTAAAACCCACATCCAACAGATTGGTTAGTATTGGACACACAACATTTGGTTTCAAAGCTGAAATGCCCCTGGTGTAATAGATCTTATGAAATTCAGTTATATTATGCCATAAAAAATAGGGACACATATCTATCGACAACTTAAATATTACCTCAATAGGCTACTTGGTGATATAAATAGGAAAAAAAAAAGTGGTCATGGACTAGAAGTGAGAAGACTATGACACCAACCTTTCTTGGACTGCAAAGGATGTTAAAATCTATCCTAGAATCTAAAACAGGAAAATGAGTCAAATATTCCACTCCGTACAGATCCCATCTGGCCCGAACCATCCCCCAAGCAGTACACCCCCAACACATGAGGTTACTAACCACCTGCTACAGATGTTACTATGTCACTAATTAACAACCATCACAGAGAATGTGTCATACCAGAGGTTTTTTTTTGTTGTTGTTGTTGTTTGTTTTTTATCATACACGATGCATTAGTGGCTGCAGGGATCTTCCTCCGAGCGCTACCGTAGGAGGTAAACTGACAACCGTTCACTCGCTGGTCCAAGAAACCACAGCTAAGAGACTCGAGCATTCGTTTGCACATGGAGCTCGCTCTGGCACACTCCCCACTCTAGTGAGAGAGGCTGGGGTGTGGGGGACAGTCCCAGCCGGGTGCAGCAGCCTCTACTCCTGGGCCTCCTTGCGGGTCAACTTGTAGATTTCGGTGGGTCCGTCCACATGGGTGATAGTGGTGGTGAGCTGGAGTTCTTCCCCACTGTGGACACCCAGATCGCCTGAAACAGGGTTTTTGGCATTAGATGTGTTGGAGAAGGAAGCAGAAGCTGGATTCACCTCAGTAACAATCGCCCCGCTGCCAGCCCTCTTCCACATCCTGAGCTTATAAAAGAGAAACCAAGGCACACAACACCTATAAGGAGGGCTGACTCTCAGCCTTTTCACTCGGATGTTGCTGTGATTTCACAGCATTTGTGTCTGCCAGGGAAGAGATATTCAAGATAGATGAGTCAGTTCACTGTTTCTATTATTCGTAGTAATTATTAACCTTTAATGAGAGCTCCCTTTGTGCCTGACGCTATTCTTGATGCTTTATAAGTGACTCTATTTGACCCTGTAGGCCCTGGGGCGGGGGTGGGGGGCACACTCTGATCCTGCCAGCTCTCAGTTGAGGACGCTGGGAGGGAAGTAAGGTAACTGCTCCAGGTGGAGGAACAGACACATGACAGAGCCTGGAACTGGGCCGAGGCAGCACAGCACACCTCCGACCGACGGGGAGGGCAGGCACGCACACACTTGCTGTGAATAATTGACAAGGCAGCTAGAGCGTGAGAAAGCAGATAAGAATCTGTCCAGAGCAGGCAGGGTATTACACATAATATTTGGGAACCACTAAGTGTTTTCTTCTTGAGGAAAAAATACCAGAAATGTGCCCTGAACTTCCTGCTGTCCCTAGGGCTATATACACACCACCAGTGTGTTGACCTTGTCAGTGGACTGGGGTGTGCCTCTGCTAAAATGGCATAATATGCCCTTTTCTCAATTAACAGGACAAAAGTTTCTGCAAGTCAAATGCTTCAAGTTTGCTACCTGCCATTGAGACAATTAAAGGAATGTATAACAGGCAAAATGGAAAGTGGAAAAGGCCAGGACCCAGCCCTGCTCAGTGGGACCATGTGGGCATGTGCAGAGAGGGTGCTGGAGAACAAAAGGCTAAAGGTACGTCTGGGATTTCTGTATTTATACTCTGCCCATATTATTTCTTATTTCTGGGGCTGAAATATTCCTGAGTTCAAGCATGGAATTAAACACATAAGTACTGTTTTCTATTGAGATTCCACAGCAGAACTTAGAACATAACTGGCCCCACCCCCAGGACTATTATTTCCTCACTGGTTTAAGAATTGCTGGGCATTAATGAATCTGGTGGCCTTAGAAGCCATGGGGTCAGCCCACAGATCTTGGTCGATGCCTTTCTCGTATGCCACATGGTACTAGATTTTCACTGAAGACCCAATTTCTCACAGGCAGAGTACTGAATCAGTCTTTTTATTAAATGCTGGCCTGCAGTTCTTTCCTTAAGGGGTTGTCTCCTCTCAGAAGCAGGGTCATTAGCTATTGCAGAAGACTGCTAATGGCATTTGGGGTTGTTTTGACAAGGACCCAATCCACAGGACTGAGACAAAGAAGATACTACTGGAGAATCAGCTTAGTTTCCAGCATGTCAGGTTTCTTCTGCCCTTGGATCAAGGCATGAACCCACAGGGTGCAAAGAAGGCTGGGGACTATCTAGAAGGCCACCTGGGGCCAGGCTGATCCAGTACAATGCCTGCATCTTCCCAGGTCACTAACTGGCATTCTCCTTTCTGCAACTTCCAGTTTCTCTTCAATCAAGGGCAAGCTTAAGCCTCATGTTTCTTGGTCAAAGCTAGTTTTGGATTTGCATATCTAACTGAGCAATCAAAACTTCAAAGCCAGTTTCTGATCTGCATGTCTGTGTTAGTCATCAACATTTCAAAGAGAATTCTGACCACCCCAGTAGACCCATTAACACCTCTAAGTGTTTACCTAAGGAATTCCTTTCATTGGAGACTTCTTAGAAATAGATACCAGAATGTAAATCAGGTTTTGAACCTTAAATTTAAACTGTGCTTATTGGAATCAACTTAAGTTTCTAGGACAATGAGTTCTAGAAAATGTTTATGATCCTACCGAGCACTTGAAACAGAGAAAATTACTTTGGATTCTTTATTTTTAATGGGGATCTATGCTATTGTGCTATATAACTGCCTGACACTGTCCTAAACTCCTTACAAACACTAGTGTACTTAATCCTCCTAATACTCCTTTTGAGAGAGGTACTATTTTCTCCATTCTCATTCTGCTGAAGAAACTGAGGTACAAAGAGACTGAATAACTCTCCACAGGTCGACGTTGGTCAATAGGGATTCAAACCAGAACAAGGAAGCTCCAGAGTTCAGGCTCTCAACCTTCAGGCTGTGCTGACTCTTTGCAAATACTTGAGATTTCAGCGGCCAATGAGACTGCTAGCAAATTATGAGTCCATGTGCATTTTATGTCACAGTCATTTATATTAATACATATAATAATGTGGATGAGCTGTTCAGCATATTAATTTTACTTTTGTATCTGATTAAAGGGGAATTTATAGTGTACTATATCAGTGCATTGATAATAAAAACGGTTGTTTGTAAGTATTTACTGCATGCACTATTTGGGCCTGTATTTCCTTATAAGATGTGAAGATACTGTGGCTCCAACAGGCAATTAATTTTTCTAATGTGACCCAGCTTGCTCCCAGCAGAGCTGGGATGAGGACCCAGAGGACTCTGAATAGCAAGTCTATTATTCATATGTGGTCTTATTGTACCTGGAAAGCTAACTTTCTCCCTTAGGGCATGGATGTGGGACTATGACAGTAACATATCAGGAAAGGGGATCCCTCCATTAGTTTCCAAATTCCATCAACTCCCACTTCTGCCAAGGTCTTGTTCCATCTGTTACTCTCCCCCTCTTTTGGCTCCTGCTGCTCACAGCACAAATGGCTCAAAGTCTCTTCCCATCTAAGACAAAAAAAAACCCTTTTGCAAATGCAGTGTTTCTTATTTAGCAGGGAGGGGAAGGATAATAGGGCAAAATAAATTAAGAAATGAATGGAAAGAATTCCTCAATTTACAATAAGACTCTTTCCCTGGTTATGATGTCAGTTCATCTCATCTAACTAATAAATAGGAAGGCTGGTTTCTGAGTGTTGCAAAATGAGACCAATCTCTGGGTCAGATGTCATCTCAAAGGATGATCAATGCAACCCTATCTCTGGTGTCACTCCCAGGTATGTAGTCGCTGCTCAATTCTAACTGCGGGCAGTTGGATCCCAGAAGTTACATGACTCTTATTCTGGCCATGTAACAAAAAGCACAGCATCCCAAGACTGGCAGCATTTTAATGACCATCATTAACTAAAGTAGCCACAGCTGTGGCTACTTTAGTAAAAAGAAAAGTTGCTAGGATGATTTCAAGGTTGTTTCACAGGATCTGGGAGAGGCCAGTGCCTTCTAATATCAAGGGCTACCTGATTCTGTCCCTGCAATACCCCATTACTCAGATGTGGACCTCAGGGGGCTCCCACACCATGAGTTCGTCTGTTTCTTAAGTCATATACATGGCTGGGAGCAAAGACTCCAAACCATCTGTGTCTACTTCCAGAGATTATGGTCTTTCCCAGACACTCTGCATTTTATTCTCGTCTGTGGAATTCTTCTAGTCCCCTACTGACTGACCTATTCACCTTCAAAGCTGAACTCAAATAACGGGAAGTTTATTACTCTCTGTAATGAAGTTCCTGGTTCACAGCAGGAGACTGTGGTATTTGTAAAGTCAAATGATTCCATGCAAAGGACTGTTGTTTACTCTAAGATTATGTCCTTCTTATACTTTGGGTATTATTAAACGGATGATGGTAGGGTTTTTCTTTTCTTGCCCAAAGAATATTAATATCCAGTACAGTATTCTGATATGTAGTAAGTGCTCATTAAGACACCTAAGAGTTGTCTGATACAGGCCAGTCCAGATCCTCCCTGCGTAGCTCCACATGGCTAAGTCTAGGCCAGCACTCTGGCACTGGAGTTTCCCTATTGGGGTTAAGCAATAAACCCTCAGGTAGAAAACAGGTGTTCCTTGGGATGGGTCAGCTTTGAGGATTCCTTCTGGGGCATGGGGCACAAGGGCCTTGGTGGAACAAGGTTTGGGAATTTTAATGCATTTTAATGACCGTCACTAATGACCATCACAGCTGTGGCTACTTCAGTAAAAAGAAAAATTGCTAAGATGATTCCAAGGTTGTTTCACAGGATCTGGGAGACGCCAGTGCCTTCTAATATCAATAAGGGCTACCCAATTCTGGCCCAGCAATACCCCACTAGGTGTGCTTTCTTTCTAGCTAAGGGTTAACATCAGCCTGCTGCAATTAGTATCTGTGTGGGAGACATCCAGAAAGATGCATAAAATGGTTATGGAACAGGGTTCAGGGCTCTGGTCCCTACCCATGTCTCAATCCCTTTCAACCACGAAGGTGGCTTATACGAGGCTTGGGATGAACCACTCCCCACCCTCCTCCAAAATACCTCCAGGCACTCCAGGCTAGACAACTGCAAGGAGATACATTAAGACCCAGAAGTTTTGAGTGAAATTTTAGTGTTATAGGCTACTCTGTATCTCTCCACCCTGAATTCACTTGCTGAAGTCCAGTTCCCAGTATCTCAGCATGTGACCATATTTGGAGACAGGGTCTTTGAGGAAGTCATTAAATTAAAATGAGGTCGTTGGGGTGGGCCCCCAACCAAGCTGACCCAGATACACATAGAGAGAAAACCACACTAAGGTATAGAGATAAGACAACTACCTACAAGCCAAGGAGAGAAACTTTAGAAGAACTCTACCCACCCACCCCTCTAACATCTGACCTTGGGTTTCCAGTCTACAGGATTGGGAGAAAATAAATAAATGCCTATCTTTAAAACCACCTACTCTGTGATCTTTGTTATAGTAGCCCTCCCAAACCAACACATTCAGGAAGTAGAACGTCTTCCCAAGAAGGACCTAGCACCTCCTATCATCATGCTAGGAGCAGGATTCTACAACTCAGAAAAAAAAATGACTTTAATTGCCAGAGAAAGACCAACTCACTGTAGGACAGCAGCCCTGGGGGAGGCAGGAATCCCAGGCTGGAAATGGCTTATCATCTGCTTCCATCTTCATGGGAATAGGAAAAGGTGGTGAACACCTACTTCAGAGTCTGGCTCCAGCCTGATGGCAAGACCCATTCCACCACCACTCACATATCCGAAGTCAGGCTGGCCGTGGTGGGTCATCTGACACAACCAGTGAGAGACCTCAATAAAAGGCAGCCATTGTCAAAGCCTCATAACTCAAACCAAACATTTATTGAGGCAATAAAAAGCTAATGCTACCTTTCCTATGCAACAGCAGCAGGAGACCTTAGAAGCCTCCAGAAGTAAAAGTGACACTTCGGGTAGCTAGCCACCAAGACAGGGGACCCAGAGTTGTTTCTGTGGCTTCCAGCAGAATGAATGTGTCAGACAGAAGACATTTAGTGAAAACAGAAATAGAAAGGGACTGGCTGACAATTAGACTGTCTTCTGTTCTCTTCGTCATCACCATCCAGTCAGGAATTCCATTTCTCACTTTTTTTCCTAAAAAGATCTGACAAGAATTTTACAGATGAAAGAACACAAAAATGAAAGCTATTATCAAGAATTGTCTGACTTCCTAAGCAACTCTAACTTTTCTTCCCCCTACATGAATTGATGACTGAGGGTGTTTGGACAGTTTTCGTGTGTGCACTTCTGTATCCCTGGGAGGTGCGCTTTCTCTCGGGCTAACCATGGAATATTACTCAGCATTCAAAAAAGATAAACACATGCAATTTGCAGCAACATGGATGACGCTGGAAGGGATCATGCTCAGTGAAATAAGCCAAAAAGAAAAAGAAAAATACCGGATGGTCTCACTCATAGCAGGGATCTAGAAAACTTAAATAAGGGACCAGGAAAATGAATAACTATAAGAAAGTGAAAATCAAAATCAACAAAAACTATGAACCAGAGACACTTTTTGGGGGTGGGGGACGGGAGGGGAGGGATTGGGGTCAGAATGGGGGGATTGCAATTGTATGGGGA